TTGGAACTTCACTGCCAGCAGCTTGTCATAAGAAAGTGATGGAGGAGAGAGGCCAGCCAAATGAGTCAGTGGAATTATAGGAGCACTACGTTCGAGAAGCTCAACTCGTCAGTCTGTTGGACCTTGTGACAAGAAGCAGGAGCCTGCAGATCACATGTTTTCACTTGTCAGAAACAGTTAGCTCCTTCATTTGCAGCAGTAGCCTTTGGGTTGTGTTTCTCCTGAGCCACGCATATCATCTCTTGGAGGGCTTTGTTGAGTAACTGTCGCTTTTCCCTTTTCCACAAAGAAAAGATTAAAAACAAGCACTGCAAAAGTATTCTTCCTCACGGAGAGGAATGCCATTTTAACCTCTAGCTTGCCTGATTCCTAAGTTACCTTCCAAGCAAATAAAAATCCCCATGGCTAAAGACCAAGGTGACCCAGTGCAAAGCTTTGTCTCTTCGCTTTAGCCCACTTTGGAAGGTGGGCTTTGGAACCATCTTGCTGCTGAATAAGTCACCTTCATGAGAGCCAGCACAAAAAGCAAGGGAGAAGCAAGAATGGCGACTACACATGGTTGTCATCTCCTTTTTGGTCCTCATGGGTAGAGAAAGTCCACCCGTGGCTGTTATCTACATTGAGGCTCCACGTTCAGAAGCAGCAGTTCCTGAACACCAGAGGAACATAAGAATAGGCAGAATAGGGTTGTGTGGATCTGTCGCTTTTGCTTTCTTCACCATTGGCATGTTTATAATCTCAAATTCTTTCCATTCTGTTTAGGAAGATATTTATGAATGCAGGAAGTTCTTCACCAAAGACTGAACCAAACAAAATCCCTCATACTCTTTCTCATCATCATGGAACAGCTGAGACAGGTAATCTGAGATTTTTGAGTGTGGTGTCCCCAACACGGAGACAAGCTCTATCTTTCCTTTCCATCTCAAGAAGGTTGTTGTGATCCTGAGTCCATACTGGAGGTTGGCAATGGACTGGAAGAAGACTAAAAAAATGGAAGATTATTCCAGATAAGAAGCATGTACTCCTTCAGGCCTGCAGGAAAAACTGAGGAGTTCAATCTCGCTTGTAGAGGAAAACACTTCACTTCAAAACTCAGATCTGAAATTTGGGAGGTATTCCTGAAACAGGTCTTGTGCCTGGATGTAAATTCAAGGCTGAGACATTTGTCTCAGTCCTAATTTTAGTTTGTGTGTAGCCAGTGAATCTCATAAATGCTTTCCTGATGGCTGCAAGAAGAACACAGTAAAAAGAAATAACCAAACTTTGCTCATTCAGTAAGTTTCCTGTTCTTTATTTTCCAAAAAGAAAACCAAGAATATCCCAGAAGTGCTACTTTTAGGTGAAGGGTAAGGGAAGCCATCCTCCATTTTGACACTAGCAAGAAGAACATGAAAATAGCAGGGTTGGCAAGGTGTTCATTTCCCCCTTTCGTTGCAAAGGCCGAGAGGATCCCCGTAGCTTGGGGAGAAAGCAAGCACATAAAATCCCCCAGCAACCCGGTGATTTAATAATGCATCTGGCAGAAGGAGACAGATTTGGCATGGTCCCACGGGAATGGATTTTCTTCTTTTTGCCGTGCCTCAGTTCTGTATTTGTTTTCCAAATTCTGCGTGTGTGGCGGAGGTAAATCCTTAAAGACAGCTGGCAAAGAGAAATGGCAGATTCAGACAATCAAAGACTCTTGTAACGTCACTTAATTAACTAATGGCCTGCATAGAGATGTAATGGGATTCAAGAAGAGAAAGCTTTTACTGCAAAGCTCGAAGCCAGCAGTATCTGAAATAGATGCCTGACGGGGCTTTCTTTACTCCCTCCCTGAGTTTCACAACGCAAGATAGTAACAGGGAAAATGGTTTGTATGCAAAGAGATTGCTCCCTCTAGTGTTTCCGAGCTGTAATGACACCTAATTTCATCCTAAATCAGACTTTCCCAGTCTTGGGTACCCAGTTATTGGTGGATTCCCACTCCCATCACCCTACCCAGCCTGGCCAGTTGTCAGGCGTAATGGGAGTTGTAGTACAATGATATCTGCAGACCCAGGTTTGGAAAAAGCTGCACTAGATTCTTGTAAAAAGGGATCTAGGGGATTTTTTCTTGGTCATTTAATAACTGAACCACAATTTCCCTCCCTGAATTAGAACTGGAAACATAGCATTCTTTTCTCTTTTTTCTTTTCTGGAATATGTAAGCGTGAGAATTGCTTCTCTTCAGTAGCTGTCTCCCTTCTTTTTATTTTTTATTTTATTTGTTCGTTTATTGCTGTGTGAGCCTCCCTCCTTCCTGACTGGTAAGGGGAAAGCAAAACTCAGAGGAACAGGGAGTCTTATGACTGAGTGGGGACTTGAACCCAGATATCCCAGGTCCCCAGCACAGTGCTTGAACTAATCCACCACACTGGCTCTCTGTAGCTGCTGTAGCAGCTATGCATTTATGTGTGAGGAGCGTTACTTGTCTGATTGCTTCCCCAGTACCATGGTTTGCCTTCACCTGCTGCTTTTTTAATGTGCTAAAACTCCCCACACCTTCCAATATCCTCTCAAACAAACTCAGTAAATAAAATAAATACATATGGCAGCATTTAGAGATAAGTCTTTAGGGATGCGCACATCAGCAAATCGTGAGCCGATGTTGCTGACATTCTCTGAATTCCATTGCAAAGCTTGTTCCAACTCATTTATGTATCAGATTGTGTTATTACTGTTACTGATTGCATGACAACCTGTGTGAATTTTCATGCATTCCCCCCCCCCCCAAAGGTATGCATCAGTGGTGCACATCTTTGGCATGCATGCCTTCTGCTCCCATGGATCAAAGATTAAAAGTGCATTTTTAAAGACCACTTTTTATCTGCATCTTTCACATCTCGGCATGCTGTAGAACACATTTTTTCAACCCATGACTCACACCGCACGCTCAGAAATATATGGATTTCAGCTGCAGATTGCATCTGAGCCTGTGTTTGGTTCAGAGAGCGTGAGATGGGTCAATCCTGATAAAAAAGATGAATCGAAGTGGAATCCTCATCCCTACCAGTTCTTCTCCTGCAAGCTGGCATATGGGAGTCCAAGACATGTCCAAAGGAGCATGTTTTCCCACTTACGTTACTGGTGTGGGGTAGAGAATGATGGCTGCAGTGGGACAACCAGGCAAGAAGACGTGGCTTGTCCCACCGTAGGTCTCCATGCCCCCTCTGCATGGAGGAGGAGGGTGGCCTATGCCTTTTGGCGGGGTCTACCTTGGGGATGTGTGCGGAATCCAGCTCGGCGGTGGGAATCTATTAGATTCCCCGGGATGAGCTCCCCAGAGGCCAGTTGGCTTTGCCACGGCCCTGGGTCCAAGTCCTTGGGGAGTGTCTCAGGACTCGCACGGCACGCGCCAGGAATCAAGCCCTGCCGCGGAGGCCCTGACACAGCTAACCTCTCGTGCGAAACACCATCTGTTTGGAGGCTTCGCTCCCTGTCTGGGGCATTCCGACTCCGAGGGGCGGAAGTGGGTGGCAACAAGGGGAGGGGGGCTTTCTCAGGGGTGGCCCCCATCCGCCTGGCTGGCCCTGAATCTGCCATCTTATAGGTGCCAGGTTACAACAGCCCTCTTCGCTGAGGCTTTTAAAGACTTACTTGGCCACCCAGGGGCCTCGGGGAGCTGAGCAGGAATTTTGCAGGGTCACTGTCTTGGCATTCCTTGTTTTGTCTGTTTTTATCATCTGATTTTTGTCTGTTCAAAATCTGATTTTTTCTGATATGTTTGTCATTCATTTTTATGGATTGTGTAAACCATCCAGAGCATTTACTGTGGGGTGGTATAGACATGAATAACATCAGCAGCAGCAGCAGCAGCAGCAGCAACAGCAACAACAATAATACAAAATTAGCCTGAGGAGATAAGGGAAGTGGAGATGGCTGGAAATTTCCGTTCAGTGTGGGTCTGACTTTAGCAAAATGGATTAAGTTCCTGCTCCTTGAGACAAAAATACCCCCTGCCCCCGTGTTTGTGTGCGTGTGTGCGCGCGCGTGTGTTTTAAATGGATATGGAGAAATCAAACCTGGCAGATTCGTCCATCCAGTCCAGGTCTCTGAGTGCTTTGCTGTTAGACTGATTTTAAATACCTGTGCATTCAAACATGTCAGTGCTTTATTCGGATCGTCATCTCTTTTCTCCAATAGGTTTTCACCTTCAACAGGTGTATGGCAGGCAGGTACATCGTGACCTTCCCCATGTAGGGAACAGCTGGAACTACTTCATTTGGCCAGTGCAGATGAATGGTGAATTCATCACTGGAATTTGGCCAGGGTAGATTTATTCCAGTGCAGATAATTTAGCAAAACCACAACCAAGTTTTTCATCTGCAAGAGAGACAGTACTTGAGACTAGAGTCCTGGGGAAAAGTATAGCTGATAGATCTAGATCCCTCTGAAGGGAGCAGGGCTGAGGACACTTGTCTTTGTGTCCTGCCGGCTTCATTGCATCTATGGCTATCCTCCAGGAGGGACTGAAGTGGTAAAGAGGTGTCTCTGCCCACCTTTAAGGTGAACAGGCACGGAAAAACACAGATCATTCAATAGTCCGGTCCAGTGTTGGGCTACTGTGGAACAGTGCCAGCAATGTCAAGAGCAGAAAGAATGTCTTCCCGGTCCCACCACAAGTATGAGGGAGCCCTGCAGGGTTAGATGGAGTAGTCCAGCTGCTAACATCGCAGAGGCTGGCAAATTAAATAGGATTGCAGCCGATCAATTAAGTATTGATTGCTTCCACATATCCTGCCTTGTGTCCTCATGGAGAGCTGTGGGGAGAAAATGCTTTGTAACTGGATTCTCTGGATTGCGCCAACTAAGAATGTGTGTTCTTCTCTCTGTTGATGGAACCACATCCCTTTTGCTAGCGGAATGTTGGGACACTCAAGTGTTCACCACTGTGAAGTCATTTCTGGACTTTATCATGCAGTGAGGAGAACCTTCCTGTCTTCTCTGTGTATACTGTGTATATATTGTGAGCAGGCATCATGGCAGCCTCCCCATCCCCAGGAGATAGTCCCTTAAATAAAGGGAACGTACCCTTTGAGGTGCATCCACGAGCTGATGCCATTCGTTCCAAGTTGATCTATATCTTCTACCTGATTGACCACCTGCGGGGACTGAGCCATGCCGTCCCAAGGCACAACATACAGGATTTCCTGGACAAGAAGAAACTTAGGAAGCTGATGCTCACAGACCACCACCAGCTGGTCCGCTTCAATATTGCCCCCTCTCGGAAAGTGATGGTCTCCCAAGAGAAACGCTGGCGCAACCGTATCGAGGTGCGTTGCAGCCACTGGCCCCCCCTGACCATGTGGGCATCTTCCATCCTGAACAGCAATTTTTTCAAAGGTTTCATCATCTTCCTCATCTTCCTGAACATGCTGGTCCTCATGATCTCAACAGAGATAGTAGAAATGACGGGTCAAACGATGGTGAACATGAAAATAGCAGTGGAGGTGGTCATCTGGGTCATTGTCTTCATCTTTATGGCTGAGATTGGGCTACATTGGATCGTTAGCTTTTGGCGCTACTGGAATAACCCCTGGAACATCTTTGACTTCACCGTCACCCTCGTTTCCTTTATCCCAGAACTGATCTATCTCTCAGACAAGAGCCACAGCGTGGCCGCTGTCCGACTGCTCCAGGTTTGCCGTGTGTTGCGCTGCTTAAAGCTCTTCTCCAGAGTCCGGCAAGTCCGGGTTCTCATCATGGCCATCGCCAAAGCCCTGAAGGCCATGGCCTTCATCCTTGTGCTCCTCCTCTTCTTCCTCTACGTCTTTGCTGTCTCTGGCATTTTCTTCTTTGAGAGTTACAGCCGCTCCGATCGGGATGACCTGACGTTCAACATGTACTTCACGGACATGCCAAATTCTTTGGTGACTGTCTTCATACTCTTCACCATGGACCATTGGTATGCTCTGCTGCAGGACACCTGGAAGGTCCCAGAGATCAACAAGGTCATCAGTGGCTTGTTTGTATGTTTGTGGCTTCTCATTGGGGCCTTCATTTTCAGGAACCTCTTTGTCGCCATCATGGTCACTAATTTCCAGAACATTCGGAGTGACCTAAGTGAGGAAGTGCATCAGATTGAGACGCAGAAACAAGCAGACAAATTTAAGATGGAGCTGCTGGAAAGGAGATACAGCACAGCCCAGGCTCATTTTGATCGGTTGAGCACTGCACCAGAAAGACAGAGCACAGAGACAACCTCCGTTGTTCCATTCACAGAGTATCCGGAGTACAGCTCCCATGAATTCCACACTGGGATCTTGGACTGGGAGACCTACATCTACAAGAATCTACCAGGCCTGTATGAGGCTGATGAGGATGAGCAGGTTGTTTGGCCTCGCGATTCCCTCTTTCGCTACTTTGAGCTCCTGGAGAAGCTGCAGTACAACCTGGATGAGCGCAAGCAACTCCAGCAGTATGCCGTGTTGGCTCTGTCAAACTTGGAGGATAAGTAGAGTGGATACTTGGAGACCTCAGGAGAGAAGCCAGCATGGCCAACTTTGGACAATTGACCCTTTTACCTTTCACTTGGGGTTCTCTCATCATCATTCTTCCCCAACCCTCCTCAGTCGAACATGGATCCCAAATTTGGCCCAACGCTGATATCAAATGAGAGTTATTAAAACACAACCAAGCCCCCAATTGAGTATATCAATTGAAGAGTGCAAAAGTCCACAGAGAACAAATAAGATCGCAGATAAGATGCTGTCTAGTTTGCTATAGGTGAAATTTTAATGGAATAGCCAGCAGCACTGTTGGCCTGGGAGCCAAGTATGGACCACCCAGGATTTCCATTTGTCCTACCATACTGAGCTTCCTTGTTTTCATCCATCCTTCCATTTCATGCGTGTATATTTTGTATACACCCTGCGTGCTCATGAAAATGTCCTGTGTGCATTTTTCCCCATGTGTTTGGAACTATTACCTTTAATGTTTAACAGGGCTGACTCCATCAGGAATTGACCGCAAGTTGTGCACACCTCCATGGTCAAAAGAAATGCCAGACATCTTATTGCAGGACTTCGTGGCTCCATGAGAAGTATTACATTATTTTCTTGCTCCTGAATATGTGGTTCATCATTGGGTTATCCTGAATCTTAGTGTTACTGGGGGCTCGGGACAATCTTCTATGCATGTTCACCAAATATATATCATCTTTTTCTCATTTCCCCCCTTAGCTGTTTTTGATTTTGTCCATCCATTTCATCCCATCTGGAAACTCTGGAGTAAACGTGTAACCAATGCAGTGCTTGGATTTTGAGATAGTGCTAGTAGATTGCAGCATTTTTCCCAAATCCTATGTATAAGACAGTGAACTTCCTTTTCCGACTCAGCTTGTCTTTCATACCTTTGCAGTGGTGGAGTTTGACCCCAATAATTCATTCTTAATGCAGTGTGTGCTGCCCTTAAGAACTTGCTCTTTGGCTGCAGGAGAGACCAAGTGTAACAGCCCAGCTCTTTATGGAGCTGGGTGCATTGAATACACTGCTCTTTATCTCGGTCGGCTTCGGTGTACAATTCACCATCCTGGCTTTGATCTTCAAAGTTTTGAACAACTTCAGTTGTACCACGTCATGTTCTCTTCCCATTCCCACCCCTTATATTGTTTCAATGTTACATTGAGCTTTGCCAGGGAGCTGTGCGGCTAACAGGATGGGATAGACATCAAATAATGAATGAATGAATGAATGAATGAATGAATGAATGAATGAATGAATGAATGAAAATTGGTAGTGCTCCTGATCACCAGAAGATTAAAAAGGCCTTGCTTGACTACCATAGTGCAGCTCCATCATCTTAGAACCTGGGCTTGGAGGTCTTATGTGAGGACTCTTTTTTGGTAGTCCTGTGTATTATTTCCGTTGTGATGTAGAACCCACGTTTTTCTATCCCCCATGTCTCATTGTCACTCCATGGTTGACAACTCCTTCATTCCTGATATGCTAGGATGACCACAAACCTATTTGCCTGCCTGAAAATTTTTAAGTCCTCTGAGGATGTGCAGTTTTGCATCATCAGAGATCAGAAAAGCCCTGCGGGACAAGACTGGAGGTCCGTCCAGTCCAGCACTCAGTACACACAGTGGCAAACCAGCTGCCCACAGGGTCCCTCCAGCAGGAGGGGTGCAGGACCTCCCCCTGCCCAGCTCCTCAGCAACCGGTGCATGCAGGCAGGCCACCTCTGGGGAAGGATGGAGCACTTAGGCAAAACAGGTACAATTCCTATGTGCCAAAGCATCAAAATTCCATAGCACCAGAAGGCACAATTCCTATGCATGTGTAGATAGAAATATGCCTAGCTCCCAGCGTGCTCCAGACAGCCTGGATATTCTAGGCTTTAAAACAAAATCTGTCCAAGCAGATTGCCCCTTTAAACTCAGAGAGCACGACAGAAATAGAACAGCGCTTGCTTCTGATGCCTTCATCACTGGCTGCTCGCAGAGTGTTTTCTTCATATCCCATCCCACCCCACCCCAGCCTGCCTGGCTCTGTAACTTGTCCTCATTTCCTGCCCTAATTTAATCACTGCTCTGGTGCAGAATTCAGTCCTTTTCTACCTGTTGGCTCTAATGCACTAGCAGGGTGTGAAAGCAAAAGCTTTGCTCGCCTGCCGCATCGCCTGTGTCCAAAGAGGGCTGAACTCAGTGTCGATGACATACTTCTGTTGTCTTTCCTCTTGAAAGAGGAAAGATTCTTGTGATTGTAGCCCTCTTGGGTGAATGATCTGGGTCTGACTCTTGCTAAGAGGAGCAACAATCCAGTCTTGACCTTATTATTTCTCTGCCCACAGCTTTCAATTAATATAATACCACCGGTGGCCAGTTCTTTCACAGCAGCAGAATGCATGATCCAACATCATCCAAGCTGATGTTTGTCTCTGGTACTGTGTCTGCCACTCACTTTTCAATCCCTAGAGATCTGATGCCGCTGGCTCCGAGAAAAGAACAAACACCGTGATTATTTAGCGCAGGCCTGCTAATAGCAGCCCATTGATACCCGTGTTTTCATTTTATCCGGTAAACCTCTTGTGGGAGAAGTGTCCATGTACTGCATCTCCAAGCACTTTGCAGATAACAACTGAATGAAATGCAATGGGCAACTAATCATTACTAGAGCAAAAGAGATGCTTGGTAAAATCTATCTGGCAACAAAACGTGAGCGAATGCAAAATGAAAAGATCAGTAGGCACACACGCTCCCTCCCTTCTGGCATGGAGAATGGCTCCCTAGACAAGGAATGGCAGTGGTGCCGAGTTGAAATCCTGGGTTTAAAATGGTCAAATGGCAGTCAATAAAATAGAAATGACAGAATAAGAGGTAGACAACGTCAGTAGCAATCTTATTCCAAACCTTTCAGGAAAACAGTGATTCTTCACTGCTTTCCTCAGATCTCTGCTAGTTCACCTGGGTCCTCTCGAAGTTTAAGCAGAAGTAAGGGTTACACCTTGCAGCATGCCCAATTTCCTAGGACGCAAAAGCAATTTTTCAGCATAGGCTGTTGGTTGGAGCAGGAAAATCCATCCATCCATCCATCCATCCGTCCGTCCGTCCATCCGTCTGTCCGTCCGTCCCCTCTATCTCAGTGGCATGCCTCACAGCTGGGAATCTTGCATGGCTACCCACTCCTCTTGCATAGGAGCATTAAGTTCAGGGTCTAAAATTACTTCGTTACACCACTTCTCCTGCTTATTAGATATTCAAGCCGTACCAACAGTGCACCACAAACTTGTATCCCTCTTCAATCCACATGGTCCATGCCTGCATCTCAAAGAGTTTGTATCTGGAACTTTTCCATCTGCTGGGAAGAAATGCATTCTCCTTGAGCCCCTGCTCATAGGGAAGATACTTTGCCCCAAATCAAGCACTACAGTCCAAAACTCATAAGCACAACTGGTGCAACTGCCAGGAAAATAAAGGGGATGTGTGTGTGGTGGAGATGTCCACTATCTAGTTCTGTAGGTTACCGTGCAAGGAAGTAACGCTTCCATTCCTATGGGAGTACCTCTGAGCTTCTGCTGTTCTCTCAAACATTTTGGTATATTAAATAAAGTTGTACTTGAATATGTATCTTTGCACTCAGAGGAAAATGAAGAGCCACATATGCCAAGCAGACAATGATTTCATGTTCATGGGTATTCTGAGCCTATACTAATCCATCATCTCAATCAAGCATTAATTGTTGTTAGTTGTGAAGTCTTGTCCAACCCATCGCAACCCCATGGACAACATTCCTCCAGGCCTTCCTGTCCTCCACCATCCCCTGGAGTCCACTTAAGCTCACACCAACTGCTTCAGTGACTCCATCCAGCCACCTCATCCTCTGCCGTCCCCTCCTTCTTTTGCCATCTATTGTGCCCAGCATTAGGCTCTTCTCCAGGGAGTCCTTCCTTCTCATTAGGTGGCCAAAGATTTTGAGTTTCATCTTGGCCTTCTAAAGAGCAGTCAGGGTTGATCTCCTCTTGGACTGACCGGTTTGATCGCCTTGCAGTCCAAGGGACTCGCAGGAATCTCCTCCAGCACCACAATTCAAAGGCCTCGATTCTTCGGCGCTCAGCCTTCCTTATGGTCCAGCTTTCACAGCCATACATGGACAGTACCAAAAGGGAAGCATTAATAGCATGTATTAAAGCCAGCATGGCATAGTGGGTAAAGTGCTAGACTCTGGGACTCAGGAGATCTGGGTTCTTGACTCCAGGCCAACCATCAGTGCTCAGTGTATCCCACCTTACAGCATTGTGATGAGTATAAAATGAGGAGGATGAAAACTGTGTGAGCAGTTTGGATTCCTTGCAAGAAGATGGAAGGAGGAGAATTATTGTTGCTATTCATAATAACCTGTTTCAGCAGCAGCAGCAACCATGACTTCATAGGGAAGGACCATATTGGAGGGGTGGAGCCCATGACCTGTTGGCAAAAGCTTGATCCCTGGAATCCATAGAAAAAGAAATCCTGAACATGCACAAATGTCCACTTGAAAAAATATATTTATCCTGATGCCTGGAAGCTTGGGGAGTGATCACCAGTCCTTGTAGACCAGATTATGTCAGATGCAGGGACAGAAAGATGAGTAAGACTCAAACTCTCTGAGGTTCTCATGTTGGGAGCTTGGCTCACCTTGTCTCCATTCCTACCTGTGATCTGCAATCATTTACATGCAATCTGAGTGGGAAAATTTGCACTTTGGCTGAAATTCTTTTAGCATTCACCCAAAATAGATTGTTTCCACCTATTACTACAGTGTGGAAATGTGCATTTTCCCATTGTGTGCATTTTCAATGCATTTTCCTAACAAATATATTTCTAACACAATTGCAAACTCAGGCATACAAATACTTTGCACAAGAAAAGTGCTCACATTTAGGGCTTGGAACAGGGCAGGTTGCAATTTTTATGATGGCTTGATGTTCAACAAATTAGAACGACTTTCTCATACATCTCTAGCTGTTTGGACTGGAT